TTTTAAAAACATCGCATTTTGAGGTACGTTTTCTTTTCAATTCAAAAAGCACGTGTCAAAATTAATTTTATTTTCTTTCAATTAAAAAAAAATCATATTTTTAAATCTTTTAAATTTTGAATCACGTGAATGAGTACGTGAATCATTAATAATGCCTCACCTTTATCATAGTTAAAATAAATTTATCATAGTTAAAATAAATTTAAAATTTTTATTTAAACTTTATCTAACGAATGTTTAAACTTTTATAATTTTTGAACGTGGAGATTTTTTAATAAAAGAAGTCATTGTACTAAAAATTAAGTTTAGAACATTTTAAGCACGGAGTGGAAGAACTAATTGTAGAAAACTAACTGATTACAGAAAAATAATTCAATATCTTTTTACTTTTTATTTATTTATTTTCTTTTTTAACATATTTATTACTAAAGATTTCTTATTTTTTGTATTTTAGAAGTCTGGTGTTTTATTATTATTATTATTTCCTATCTTTTTACTGCGATTGATGTATGCTCCGAAAATAGTTAAAATAAAATCCATTTATATTTTCCAAAAGTTGGTGCTTTGTAGGTAATAAAATGTTTACTGAAAGAAGTTGGCAAGCTAAAGTGTCGGATATATGTTGGTTTATTTTGTAAAATTACTACAAAAAAACCAAAACGCTAAAATAAATAACGCCCATGGGATTTCAGTTATGGTGGCGACTCTGATCTGTAACAATGCGTTAAACGTTTTTCTATTTGTATATCTTTGGTGAATTGAGGCAATATTTCATTATTCATTATGTATTTAAATGTATAAAAGCATGTCTAAAAAGTTTCCGCATTGTTTAACAGCTTTTAAATATAGTTTTCTACTTCTTCTTTAACTTCATCTTATTATCATTATTTTTATTATTGTTAAAATTTTATTGTTATTATTATTATTTTTTGATGAAAAAAGTTGTAGTTTTTTATTCATATATACGTTGAGTAAGGATACTTTTAAACTGGCGTAATATTTTAGTAATATAAAAGATGGAGGAGAGCACGCCCCCTCTCTTCTTGTTAACATCTCTCTGTAAATTCCGGATTTTTTCCGGATATTACAAAAAAATTTTCCGGATTTTTTCCGGATATTTGAGGAAAAAAAATTTTCCGGATTTTTAAAATATGGTCAGGATAATCTATGTTAATAAATTTTTAATCTGTATTACAACCTTTGCTGACTTCTTTCAAGAATAACAGATTTTAAACAATAATTGATATAGTATTGACTGATGATGTATTCTGCTTTTAACATATATCCTGAATGAATGTCACATGCTGTTTTAAAGATGTAGAAGGCAATTCTATGTGAAAACTTCCAGGGCATGCAACCCTAAGATTCAGATTTTGCTGTTTTTTACACCACTCAAAGATTTTAAGAAGTTATAAACATTTCCAAAATTTTATAATCTAATTCCAAAGGGTTTTAAAGATATGACTCTTCAAACTTTGCCTTGAACCAACAAAAATCCGCCATTTTGAAAAATGGTTTTGGTCATTGTTTTTTGTTCTGTATGCAATGGAAAGCTGAAAATATGTACACTTTCATATTTTGAGTTAAGGAATACTATAAAACAACTTGAAATATTTAAAAATAAACATAACACCTGTAATTTTGACCATTATCGCAATTTTACTGAGGTGAGTTTAATTACAAAAATGCCGATATAGCTCGATTTTTTTTTATATATATACATTTTTTTTTAACTTCCAACAAGGCTGCAAGCAAACACTAATTAGAGTTGGAAGTTACTTGAAAAAAAAAGATAAAGATTGTAGAGCAAGATAACGATTGACAGATGACTTAAAAGATTGCAAATTATATGAATCAGGAAAGCAAGATAAAGGAAGCGAATTCCAAAGAACTGATGTTTGAGGAAAAAAACTAGATGAATTTAGAGTTTTTTGAGCACTTAGGAACAGTCACAGAAAAAGTATGAGACTTAATTGAATGGCAAGTAACACGAGAATGAATTTTAGTAGATGGCACAAGAGATGCTAGTTTAGTGCCCATTATAGTATTTGTAGAAAAGAGAAAAAGAAGCAACGTTACGAGTTTAGTTAGAGTTATTACAAAGAATTGGAGAGTGGTCTTTTTTTAAACAGAAAAAAAAATTGTCAAATTTACTTAAATTTGTTACTTAAAGGGACTACCAAGTCCCGAGACATGTTGTGTTCATATTAAAGAGAATGTTAAAAAAAAACGTCTGAGCAAATTTTTTTTGATTAAAACTAATTAATAAATGTATACCAAGAAAAATAAATCTTGTTGTTTTAGTCGAAGCTCGTCTTCTCCGTTTTCTCTGGTATTTTGAGTATGTAAAATAAACGCGATTTTCCAGGTGCATTATATAGACTTGATAATTTATTCAAGCGCGTTTAATTCATAGGAGTTTTAGTGCATGACGTCATAGATTTTTTGTTTGTTTGTTTAAAGCACCGATTGTTATTTTTTACATACAATTTCCAAATCATTTTCATTTCTATTATATTTTAAAGTTCTAAAATGTGTTTGTAAAACAAAATTTAAAACAAAATAAAATTAAAAACAAAATAAAATTAAAAACAAAAGTAAAATAAA